GCCACTGGGTAGCGTAATTCCCCTATCTGTAAGATTTACTGTCTGTACCCTTCCCCTCCTGTCTATATCGAATTCCAAGATGTTGTAATTTAGCGAATCATCTTCTATCCATAATCTTGGCAGAATATCAACCATGAGTCGCCTTAAATTTTACACATTAAAAATTAAATGAGGGATGAGGATAAAAGAAAATTACTGTACCTTCAAGTTTTGAACTCAGCCCCAACTGTGGTCGGGCTGAGGTGGTTTCTATTTTGAATTCCTGGATTTGCCAATGTTTAATGTGGTACAGTACTTTGGTGGCTAATCATCTTCTATCTGTAGGCCTAATCTTATTGTTGGTATATGGACAATGAGTACTACAGCTGTATTTGAACATGGAGTTTCGTGAATGCAAAAAGTTTGGGAACGACTGACCTAGTATTGTTTGTCAAACAGCATTTGTTTGTCACCACCGCTACCTTCATGTCTTCAATAGATACTGTACTTACTTTTGTGTGTTAAAGTGGCAGCGCTAGCAGGAACAGTTTGGTTTCCCAACCTCGAGGTCGGGGTTTCAATCCTTCGCTGTGCATTTCACCAAGTGTCCTTGAGCAAGGCATTTCCATCTTCATTGCCTCTCTCCACCCAGTAGTATAAATGGGTATCTGGTGGTGTTGCCTGCTACTGCGTCAATATTGCAGCAACACTTGTTGATCCAATTATCAGGGAAAAACTTACAGAGCTTTGTAAAATTAAAGGAGTAGCACTATACAAGCAAAAAAGTAAAAAGTTCCGTCTGACACCACTAAAATATTTTAAAGATTACATACTCAAGTATGTGAAAATACCTGTACCAATAACTTCAACTTCATAATAATTTCAATTTTTGCTAAAATTTTGACATAAAGTGCCTCAATTTTAGCAGGTGGTTTGGTGCAGCGGTTGCTGGTTACTCACTGTGCATTTCGCTGTGCAAGGCACTTTACTTACGGTTGTCTCTCTCCACCCAGGAGTACAAGTGGGTACCTGGTAGGCTCAAAGACAAAGTGTGCTGATTGCAGTTGCAACCTCATCATGGAATTCTCCCCAGGGAGCTGAGTACTTAAACTTAAATGCTTTCCGAGTCACTTGGGCTCATACAACCCAGTTTCTGTAGTGTGAAGCGGATGAGAGTTGTACTCCCCTTGGATGGGACACTAGTCCGTCGCAGGTTAGTCCCCAGCAGTTTGCTGGTACCCATTACAGCTGGGTGGACTGAAGCAATGTAGCTAAAGTGCCTTGCCCAAGGATACAAGTGAATCTGCACAGCAGAGATTTGAACCCCGACCTTACAATTCAAAGTTCAAACCTCAACCGCTGCGCCAAACTGCCGCTGCAGCTGAGCATGTGTTCCATAATGTGCTTGATCCACTGACCGGGACCCTGACCATAGTTGGCTCCTTGGTCTAGACCTCCGTTCAAACCGTCAGCAAATTTCTTTTGTATTGTATAGATTTAAGTCGGTTTCCAAGATTTTACGAAAGTCTGTAAATACTGCAATTCATTTGCAATTAAATACTGTACTGTATTTCAATGTGGGTTTTGATCTGATTTTGTCTTTAGTATCCTAGTCCAGTACAATGGAACAAAATGCTTTGCCTTTTATAAATTACTGTATAATTCAGTGTTTACTCCTCCAGTCACAACAATTTTCATGTTTCCAGACCCATAAATCTAAATTTCATTTTTGCACCAAAAATATTTTAAGTAAATGATTGAACATTATTACAGAATTGCATGTCATACCCCTGGTCCTACAAAATGACAGTGTTCTGATGTTTGGCTTGATGTGGTATAGATTCAATGGCAGTACTGTATACACAGGCTTCGATGCTTGTCGATTTTTCTTTTCTGTCCCATCATTGACCATATTACAGTATCTGTTTTTCCAGAATGTGTTGCTTAAGTCCAGTCGTCTCCAGTTGTGCTAGGTTTCAGAATGCCCTCCCCAGCCTATAATACCAAGTTTTAAATCCGAGACTAGTAATCTGGGACCATTGCTAATTACGTATCTGACATATGACAACCTACAAAATACTGTAGTATGCACCGAGACGATAGCCATATTGAATTAGCCGACCTGTATGTGCGTTTGTTTCTGATAAATCGGAATACTGTACTTTCTTGTTCCAGATGAATGAACACAATTTTACATGTTTCACAATAATGTCTAAACTTCCCAGATTATTCGTCTCGGATATTAAACTTATTAAATACCCAATACGCCAATAATTATTCAGATATTCAACAACTTTTAAGGCAAGAGAATGTAATTTTATTGGAAAACACTTAACTACTGAACATAAATTAGATTCCTAAATTAGATTCGTAAGTTGGACCGCGTAACTTGCGCTAATCACAAGTCAAACCCACAAAAATTCTTAACATCAAGATTATGAAATTCATTGATCTGGTCCATCACAAGTATTCAAAAAGTACAGGTGTATCAACCAATATATAAAGGTGTCTTTAACAGCTACTGAGCCTGGGTCAACTTCTTCATATTCATAGTACATAAATATTGTACATTTATTTACATTAACATATTAGCATCAAAACATATTCAGTACATATTCTCTAAAGAAGACCTACCCTTAAATTCCAATACTTAGTTACTGTACTTGACAAATATATTCAATAACATAAAATAAACACACAATTTAAAAAAGTAAAATATGCCCAACTATTATATTACACTATAAACAATTACAGTACTTCAGAAAGTACCGAATCCTTAAGAAAAATAAATAAATAAAGTACAGGTTTTTAATTACAATAAATTCATATTTGCAAAAATCTGCTTCTAGTGTATAAAAGGACAATAAAGTACTGACACAAACCCTTAAAATTATCCTAATGCTTAAGTTTTCACAAGTTCTTTACTCATTGAAAAATACAACATAACTATCAACGCCATACCTACAGAAATCTTATTTAAGGTGTGTGTGTGTATTTTTAACTAGAAAAATATGCACAATTCTTAATACCGACTAAAAATAAAGACCATTGTCACCCTTGAAGATTGATAATGAACTGCTTCTTATGATTTTCTTAAAATCTACTTGTGGCCATACTTCCTTAATCTTTTTTCTTGATACTGTATTGTTTTTTTTTTAACCAAATTTTTTTTTTTCAATCTGGTTAAAACAAAAAAATACTTGAATATACAGCAGTTATGAATACTGAAGACACTGTTGTAAAGAATAATATTTTATTACATATTATACATATTGATCTGTTATTATATGTAAATATAATTATATATAGTAAATAAAAATTATAGTGCTGCATAGGTTAATAGTAAATGAAAGGCAATAAATCTGCACCTTAGTTCATTAATCATGTCCAAGTTATGACATGAATATATATTTGTTATTTTAAGTGAATAATAAAATTGACAGTATCATCTTATTCTATCTACAATAAGCATCACTGAAATGTCCATTCATGTCACGGTCAGTACATAGCAGCTAATGATGGATTAATCAATTTCTGCCTATTATTAACCCTTCTAAAGCTTTTCCACACACAATGATCAACATATCAACAATCTCATAATTATACTGATTATTTAATCTCTGGTGCTGCCAGCAACCACCTCATTTTTGTCCAAAGGTAGACATCACCTGGAAAAACAATATTTTCATAATTAGCCTTTGCATTGTTTATTGTAAATTTGAAAGACTTTTTTTCAAATACATTATTCACATCATTAAAAAAAAAAATTGTTTACACATGTACATGTCTTTTCTCACATATTTGATGTACTAACTGGCAGGTATTTACAATGCACAGGTAACTTGCTAATACAAACTGGGGCAAAATGGAATCTTGTACTGCAACACATTTATAATTACTATTTATTGAAAATGTGGAGTTTTGGCTACAGGCACATGGTTTCCTCTGCAAAACAACTTTGTATAAAAGTCACATTTTTAGTAATTAAATCAAATAGCCGACTGACCTGTTCGTAGACGGTCCATGCCATAGCGGCCATTAGGGTCCTCCTTAAGCAACGCGGTACAAGTCCCGTATACATGGCCTTAGCGCCTTCCTCTGCCATGATCTTACGAATGGTTACCGAAATGGTCTTGTATTTTTCTGGGTAGAGCTGCATTCGTGTCTTCACTACATCTGCTGGTTGAGTAACTGTTGATGCCAATACTCCAGCGATGATTCCACTGGCGAAGTTGAGTGTTGGTGTGTAACGTCTGTCTACATCTATTTGTAGAATAGTAACAATAACATTATTTAGAAAACAAATAGTGTGCCAAATATTTTGATTAGCTTAAGTACAGTGTTGCATGTTGATACACAGCTTGAAAGATGCAAGTATTTGCTGATAATGTGATATTCAGATTATTAAATAAATATGTCAACTTAAGGGTCTATGCAAAGCAATTTATGAACTGTGTTTTTTATGCATCTGTTAATCGGGGTGACACTTTTCTCATTCGCCAGCTTGGTTTCCCTACAATCATTACAAACTATCACTGACAGCTACGCAGTACGACATTGCATTAGAAACACTGTAGTGACAGTGTAGCGATTTTAAGAAAACCAGGCCTACTTTTCTGCTTACTTGCTTAAATACAAAGCAACAATTCTAATAGAGTGAAGTGTCATTAAGATATACTTTTAAAAACAGTAAGTGCTTAAAATAAAAATATGATTATGATGTTAACACGTTGGCTGCTAGAGACGAGTATACTCGCCCACAGGGTGTTGCTGAGGGCGCCAGGAACGGGTATACTCGTCAAAATCGGGGGAACATTCTAGCGTTTATAACTTCTTTATTATACATTGTAGAACCATAGACTCAACGGCTGGTACCGTAGTTCGGGGAAGATACACCTAGACGATAACGTACAAATGACATATGTATGTTTGTTGTGTTATGTTGCCGGTAGTACACTCGAGCGGTACAAGTGGGGGCGCCCTTTGAACATATACCAACCCATGCAAAAAGCGGACGAGATAACTCGCACTTGGCATAGTCAGTAAAA